TAGAACAGATGCAAAACAAAAGAAGAGTGAGTATGTAGGTCTGCACATGCTTACAAAGTTGTGAAGTTACTTCTTTTTCGGAGGCATGGGGAAAAGTTGCTGCTCTGAGTTAGCTCTGGAGTTATGTGGGGCATAATTCTGAAGCTGGAAACACACAGGAGCACTGTGTCCTATCCAAGTGCTCTTCAAGCTGGTTGACAGCTATGAAATAGTGCTGAAGGATGTGTGTTGGCACTGGACGGCTGAGGTGTGGATGGCAGAGCCTGGGAGCATGCTTCTCTCTCTGGAGTGGGAAGTTACAAACAAGCAAGGGGAAAAGCTAGAATCCATGTGCTAATGGTAGAGTTGGGGATAACAGTGTAAATTCATGTGAATTTTAAAGATGCTTACAGTGCAGCAGTGGTGGCACACACCTTTAATCCCAGCACTTGGGAGGCAGAAGCAAGTGAATCTCTTGAGTTCGAGGTCAGCCTGGTCTACAAATCCACTCAAACATACATGCATGCATACAGGTATGCACGTGCACAGAAACACTCAAAAGCCCATGTGCTATGCATATGCACACACATGCTTATTCAGGCATGCACGCACACATAAAAATACACTCACATGTTCACGTGCACACACATGTTTGTACACACACACGTGTGCATATGCAGGAGCATACATACACACTCTTTCTATTCCTTGCTCTTTAATTGAGGAGGTTGCGAAGCATCAGTAGTCCATTACCAGCAAACTAATCTCAGAACTAATCTTGGTTTTTCTAACAGCATCATCTAATGAATGGAACCAGAATTCCATGGAAAAAAAGACTGATTTTAGAATGGGGAACAGAATGTGCGCATGATGGACCTGTAATATATATATATAGTACCAGAAAGCGAGGAAGCATACACACCAACGAACCAAAACACAGCTGGGGTATGGCAGATGTATTGGGGCCAACCGAATGCTAGGGAAAAATGGGTAAAGTGGGAACAGTTGGAGCCACAAAATAAATAACACAGCACGGGACTACAAACCAAAGTTTCTTTAAGAATCCACAAAGCCATTCTGCTATAAGTAATGATCAGATACATAAGTGATGAGAATAGATGTGTGTTCCATATAGTAGGCTCTCAATGCATGCAGTTGCTTGTCCTCAGGAAGGTGGAGCATAGCTCTGTTGAGGAGAGTGGGTGAGCACAGCTCTAATCAGAAAGAGTGGGAAAGCATAACTCCAGGAAGAGTGGGAAAACAGCAGTTTCTTTCCAAAGTGTGATGGACAGAGGGATCAAAGGCCATATACTGACTGGTACCTCATTGGGCTTTGAATTGTATCATCTTTATAAGTGTTTATAAACTTGACCTGTGGTGGCACACGTCTTTAATCTCAGCACTCGGGAGGCAGAGGCAGGCAGATCTCTCTGAGTTGTGGTCTACAGAGTGAGTTCCACATTCCCCGCCTCATATGACATACCCCAACTGTCTTGAAACACCAAAAAGTAAAATAAATAAATGCTCACAAAATGCTTCTGTTTTTATAGGGTAAATCTTTTAGAAGGGAATACACCTTAACTATGTAGATGTGCACATTCAAGTTGTTCGAAATATTCCTATTTTTACTCCCCAGATCAGTGTATAGATGTGCCTCTTCTCTCTGCTCTTGTTTCTCAAACAGTAGCAGGAAGAGGGCATAAGTCCCAGTGGAGAGATGAGTAAAGGACCCAAGCAGGCAGTGGTACACATGGCTAGGGATGCAGCTCGGCTGAGTGTTTATCTAGTGTGAAGAAAGCCCCAAGTTCATTCCTGGCATCGTTTAAACCAGGTATGGTGGTGGTGCACACCTCTTATCCCAGATCTGAGGAAGTGGAGGCAGGAGGGAAAAAAGATAGAGCAAAGAAAATGCAAACTAAAATCTACAGAAAACAGCTACCTGGATGGGCATGCGGGAAGGGCAGAGCACAATCATGAGCTGCCGTCTGGTGCACTGTGCAAGCGGAGAGAAGTGATTGTGATGGACTGAGCCCTGTTTGAGAACACAGGTCCATTTAAACTTAGTAGCAGATCCTTGGTGGCCCGGTTCTTTATATATGCTTTTCTACATACACTTTTGTTCAATCCACCTTCCAAGGGCTCTCCCTAGGGCCTTAATAAAAACTCTATAGAAACATGTTTGAAGGTGTTCACCATGGTCTTGTTTATTACGGCAGAGCTCTAGTAGTCTAGTAGTCAGGTGAGTGTAAACATGATGGTGACAAAATTCTTGGATGCCGAAAAAAATCATAGATAAATACTTACCATTTCTAAAGCTGCTTGTGATATATGCTTAAAATTTACCTGTTAATTAAAGCCAACGATGGGTGCTAGGTGTGGGGGGAAAGACTAGGGCACAGGTCACAGTTTGCCATTGTTGGTCTGTGGGTCTGAGCTTGCATATGACCTCTGTCTCTTATGTTTATCTTTGCTTTCTTCATCTGTTAAATTTTATAGTTAGAGATTAAAAGACCATGCACTTGTACCCTTGCATGTCTTTCTTTTTTATTTGTTTCTTATAAGCTTTATTATAAAATTACTTGCAAATAAATAAAAACATCATGCAACAAAATTAGCCAGTACAAGTGAATGAACTTGTCCATAGCCAGAATAAGACATTTATATGAAAGCTGTGGAACTTCACATTAAACTTTGTATTTTCAGCATCAGTTGTATCTTAATACTTATTTATCACCAAGACCAGAAAATTCACAACAGAATTAGAACTAGAAAAACAGTTAGCATTTCGTCCCCTTTTGTAACTCTGACTATTACCTGTGTCCTCATTCTATATATGTATGTAGCCTTTCTTACTTTATTTTCTTCATGTTATACTGTAACCACATATATATTGATTTACATATATTACAGTCTAGATTGTGTCTAGAGAATATGTGATTCTCACTCAAAAAGGTATTTTTAAAATATATATTTTTGCACCCAAAAATAGATTCATTTCTCTCTTTTAAAACACACAATTGTATAGACTTTAAAGAGAATTCAGACAAGTACATTTCCAGAAATACATTATTCCCTCATAGGCAGTTTCCTGACCCCACCCCCAGCAGAAAGGGTCATTATTTTAAATAACAATGTTAGCTCCAACTTTTACTTAGAACTCTTGTTAGATTCTTAAATTTGTAACTGTAGTTGTTTACAAAATCACCTGCATGTTTTCTTACCTGCCCCCATCCACATCTTCATCACTGCAGTCCTATCCAGACTCCCACCTCACAGACCGCTGCCTGAGTTCTAGTGGGTGCCCGTGCTTGACGGGGATTTCCTTTGTCACTCCACTCAGAATCAGGCCCCCAGCACTGGGTGGTGTCCTAGATCCATCTTTTCCTGCCCGAGCACTGAAGTCTGGTAGTCCATATCTGGTTGTCTGTCCTCACTGCTGCACCACATGGCCCTCCTCCAGCCCTAACAGCCACTTAGCTGTTCTGAGTCATGGCATACACCGTGACACCTCGGTCCTGCCTTACCAAGGAAAATGCCTCCCATCTGTCAGGGCCCCACACTGCAGTTCCCATGCTCTGAACTGCAGCTGTCACTACAGCTACCCTCCAGTCCAGATGGGAGGGCTCTGCCTCTTCTGGTGTCTTCCAGCAGTCCAGATAAGAGGACTTATAGTGTCTGGTCCCTGCACACAGTAGGGCTTCATGCAAATCTGTTGACCTGACTGTTGCCTCAGAGCCTCTGCATACTGGGTGTGCAGGTCCTTTATCTGCTCCTTCCAGAACCAGACCAGGAGAATGTGTGAGGTTTTGGTACACAAGAATCTGTTAAGTTACACATGAGGAGCATCCCACTTGAGAGTATGTGGCATAGAAAGTACACATCTTAAATATAAGCTTTGCAAGCTTCTGTTTGGTGCCCAGAATAACTGTCTTCCAGAAGTTACTGGTAAACATTTGAGTCTGAACTTAATTTTGACAGTCCCCTGGAAAAAATGATGCTAAAGAAACCCAGATGTGATCTGCAGGCAGCCATGACTAATTACACCGAGACAGTATTTCCGTGATGCTCCTGCTTAACAAAACGGCCAATTGCTTATTCTCAGCATCCCTTGCTCTCTATCTGTAACACAGCAGTATTTTAGTCAGGAGAAAGTGTGTTCTTGTATAGCAGGCGTGCTTCTTTAACATCAGGCTGACCTTCACCGTTTCTTTCCTTGTCAAGAGAGTGGTTTCCGAATCTCACCCTGTCTCCCTGTACATGTGGTAGCAACGTCTCTCTGCCACGCTGTTCTGCACACTGGGACACCACTGTCCTGATGCTGAGAGGCATAAACGAGAAGCACTGAGCTCCTAGCATTCCTTGACTGCCTGCTTTCTGTTTTTTCTCTGGTGCTGTGAGTGAGCCTCATGCTGATAGACAATTTTCTTATTGCCACCAACAGACTCCAGGGCTCAGGAGGCCTGTTTGCATAAAGTTCTACATCAAAACTACCTTCATGGCTGACCCATGCCCCTCCAGAAGATTCATGCCCCTCAGGGCTAGTGGGACTCTGTATCTTTTATTATTGGCAAGCCTCTTTTAGAAAGTAAAGTTTGTTGCAACTGTGCAAATATCAGCAAATCCTCCTTGCGTTTGGCTTGCCTGAAGTGTGGACTTATGGAAGGCGTCATCAGTAGACACTTCTCTTTGTCTGAACTTCTGTCCACATTTCCATTGGTCCATCCATTCTGTCACCCATCTTCTTCCCACATCTCGATCCTCCTTGAGGCACCTACAGAAGCACTGGCGTGTGTAGTGGGGTCCAGCACTGTGCTGCATGGTGAGGACAGCGTCTCTTCCTCTGATCCACACTGTATGTGCTGGAGGAGGCAGGGCAGATATGGAGCCCATCTGGGCATGGGTGCCACAAGGAACTGCCCCCATGGGAACCCTGCAGTGATGGTGGGCAAAGGGTGATATGGACAGCCTGGCATCTAACTACTTCTCTGTATGTGTGTCTCTGTATGTATTTGACTCTACAGGTCAGCTTTTGGGTTGTACGAGAAATTCTAACAGCACAGACTTTAAAAATAAGGGCAGAAATCCTGAGCCATTTTGTGAAAATAGCCAAGGTAAGCTGTTTGTTTATTTCTCAAAATGTGTTTCTTCACAACTTTGGCAGATGTTTTGGGCCTTCCAGACAGGGAGACAGGGGTCCACATCACGGGTGGAAGGCTGTGGCCTGACCTCTCCAGACAGCCATTTCTGATATTGACCTAGCTGCTTGTGTGAAAAATATGCTCCCCTTCCGATCTTATAATTCTATGGCCAGTTATTCCCTTTACTTGGACTTCCAGTCTCTGCATGTGGCCCAGTGGTTTCCTGGAATCCGTCCATTCTCCTTTGGGTTTTGCCCACGCTGGGGGCCCATAGATTGTAGTTAGCCCCAGTGCTTTTGATCTAGTCATGTCCTGTACAGTTGTATCAACAGGGTCCCTCACACCCATTCTGAGTGAAGGTGTGGACCAGTCGAGCGCCGCTGATAGGCTCTGTCCATGCTGCTGATCAGGGTCCACCTTTCTCCTCCTCTCTTCTCTTTCTGACTGTCAGGCTGTGCTGTGTTGGGCCTTTCCTGGACCACTGTCATGCTCAGTAGCAGTACCTGTTCCCCCTTCCTGGGCCTGCCAGGCTGGCCTTGGAAGCATTGTTCTACCTAGTTCATGGCTTTCTTCCAGTGCACATGACCCTAGAGCGAAGCTGTCCTGGACACAGGCCTTGGGTACCAGGTTGTGTGACAGCCGCTGTGCCAGTGTGATCGAAGTCATTGTTCAAGGCTGCCATTCCATTTGCACAGTGGGAAGGGGCGGTGAAGAGAGACGAAGTGTCCATGCTGAGGGCTTCAGCTAACCAGTGGAGCAGCACTCACAGTCACACACACCCTCAGGGAAGCTGCTGTGCCTCCTGTCCCCAGAAGGTTAAGCAGTCTTTAACTCTGTCAGGGTCAGAGCTCACCATCCCATGGAGTCTCTGGGAATACTTGGGATTGGTGCTGTTTTTCATGTTGCTTGAAAAGGATGCTGGGCATGTTCCAGTCCTCATAGGGCTTCTGTTTGAAAATGAGCATAGTCCCCACCTAAGGAGCCCAAATGACCCCTCCTTAATCTCTGCCCCCTCCCTTACTGAGGAAGGTCATGTTGGCTATGCACCCCTCCCTCCCTGAGTGTTGGTTTTCCAGTCTGAGAAGAGAAAGGGACAGGTTAGATAATGCCCTAGATGCCTTGCCACTGGGAGGAAAGTCTGTGGCAGGCACAGCAATTCAGATACACAACTGAAATCTCCCTGGGAGCATCTGTTCTTACACACAGGAAGTAATCATGGAGTGTTACAAGATGTCTGAAGTGAAGCACTCAGTTTATGTAGTTAAGGCCCTGCTTCCAAGTAGGAGTAGAGCGGTAGGGGACAGGCCAAAAGGCTTTTATCAGTTGATTTATCTCATGTACTGTGCTAGGCTTTGTGCAAGGTACAAGTGCGGGATGGTAGATAACACTTCATCCCTGCTCTCACAGGACACACTTGAGAACATGGGCATTTGAGAACATGGTTAGGAAAGGCATGGAAGAGGAAGGGCAACCTGAGGAAGACAGTGAGTGAGGGGGTGGAAATGAGCCTTCCTGACAGAGAAGACAGGGACCTGCCAGCTGGGCAGTTTGGCATGTTCATCTCAGGTGGCACAGGTACCATAGTCACCACCCTCAGTTGAACTCTAAGACACTGAAATGCAGAAGGCCTGGGGAACTTGCCAAAGGGGCACAAGAAAAAGAAGCTGGGATTTTGTCCATGGCATCTTCTTGCTAGGACAAGCTTCACTGCTTACCTCAGCTAAAAAGACAAGACTAGAGACTATGGTCTTCTGCCGCAGCTCTGCTGAGTCTTTCTGTGGCCCTCCACGGTAAAGAACTTGTCTGAGACTGAAGTGGCACCATATGTCCTCACTCACTTGGGTCCTGGGAATCCTGAGCCTTGCCTTCCCAGCTGAGAACCATTGCACAGATTGATAACGTCTCCCCTGGCCTCTTTCCCATCCAGGGTTAAGGTAACCGCTGTGTAAGCTGCTGGTGCTGCCGGCACATTGGGGTCTTCTCACAGAAGCCTGCCTGTTAGGGTCAACTATGAAAACAAAGCAATTATCCAGTCTTAAGCCTTGCTTCCATCCAGCAGTCAAACAAGTCAGATTATAAAAATTGGCAAATTTTTCAGATGGGGACTCAACTTTCTTTAAAAAATGAGAGGAAAAGATCATATGTTTCCTATGAACTTTCTAGAACTATATTTTCTGTGTGAGATATTTTAAGTGTAACTGAATTTCGTAAATATGACAACATTTGGCAACACTCAAGCATGTTTTTGTTCTGTTGTCTATGGCAGCAAAATAATGTATTCCTTATCTTTGTGTTTCCCAGAAACTTCTAGAACTCAACAACCTTCATTCTCTCATGTCTGTGGTGTCAGCGTTACAGAGTGCTCCCATCTTCAGACTGACGAAAACCTGGGCTGTAAGTTAATCTCCCTCAGCCTGTCCTTGCTGAGTGTCTGCATGCCTTAAGCCCTGAGCTTTCTCTCACTGGGTATGTGCTCTGCTAAAGACAGTCACTGTGAACTGCGGAGATAGTCCCTAGGTATCTCCACAGCCCCAGAGACCACAGGCTCATCTGGCTTTCAGGGCATGAGTAGGGTGCACAAGTGGCTGGGTTTGGAAGCCCTCAACAGATCTTCCTGGACCTGTCAAAATCATCTATGCTGGCCAGCCTCAGCATGTGACTTCTGCCCTTGGCTTGGCCAGTTTTTTTTTTTTTTTTTTGTCTTTGGCAGGCTCCAAATTGCCCTTGAGAAGGTCTGGGGATTGATGGCTTGCAGCTGCCCTGGGTCACTGGCCATATAGCTCAGAGCTCTCTGGAGAAACCTGTGACCCTCATGTAGGAAAAAATGATTTCTTTCCTTTTTTTTTCCTTTTCATCCTGAGGCCTTGGATAATCTCAGCTCAGAGGTGGAGTCTGATAGTTATATAATTGAGTCTGTAGGAAAGTTTTTCTGCTGTAAAAATATTTTAAAAATATCTCAGACCTCTTTATCCTCCTTAGCTGGCACAGTGCCTGACATGGGAGAAGTAACTGCTATTTCCACAGCTCATTAGTATTTACCTCCTGGCCTGCCTGCTCTAGAGTCTCTCATAGGGGCCCAGCCCAGGCCTTTCAAGACCTGTTTATGTCCCAAGAACTGACAGAACTGTATGGAATTGCTACACATGTTTCTTCCTCTCATTTCCAACCTTCTTTCTGCTAGTCTGGGGCTGGACTCTTTTTCCTACTTGGCTGGCTCAGGGTCCTTTAAGATGTGTAAGATGTATGTTGTAGGCAGTCTAAAATGGGCCTTGCTTCTTCCAGTTGCAAGATACCTGGCTGTAGCAGAGTGGTGAGAGGAATGTTAGCCTGGAGTCTGGGAACTAGGTTTTCGTTCATATACCATTCAGAATCTGGGCCTCCTTTCCCATCCCTGCTCTACACAGTTGACTTGGAATAGTGGGTTTCTGTCGGTGCTTTGCAGAGCCCCTTAGGTCCTTACGTTGTCTTAGAGACCATCTGGAGCTTCAGGAGAGGAGTGAAGATGATCTAGCCTCCACTAGAGCAGCCTGTTTGTATATGGGGCTTCTGAGTGAATTGCAGATGAGCCCTGGTTTTTGGGGTCAAAGCAAATTTGGAAGCTGCTGTCTCTGTGGTTGCTGCCAGTCCTGTGGTTCTAAGGCCATTGGAGCAGTGAGGCTTTTTTTTAGAAGGTTTTTTGGGGATACTTTTTAAAATGACTTTTCTATTGTCGAGACGCTGTTATTGTTTCTTGGGCTACTGGGAGCCCTGCAGGTACCCAGAGGACTGAGCTTCGAATCTTCTTGTGTGCTTTGACCTTACTTTGAACAATGTTATGACTTGGGGTGGGGAGTAAAGGGTGGAGCTTCTTGGGGGAGGGCTGAGTGAATAAAATGATAGGAGTAGCTGGGGCTATTTCCAGGTTCTCCACAGAAAGTTGACCTACTCTGGGGCAAGCAGAACTCTCAGGGAAGCTTCAGTGTATCCCAGAGGGTGCTGTCTTCTGCTGGGGCTGTGGACAGTGTCAGGTCAGAGTAGCATTAGGACTGTGTGGTTTGTCAAGCACAGCTCACTGGACTGGACCATGCACTGCAGTTTTGAATCTATGCTGTGATGAAAATGAGCCCCCACACTTGGGGATCCTGAACCAAGCAATTCCCTAGGACTTCTGTCTCTGCCATCTTTGGATGTGTGCTGACAGAATGCAAAGAATTGTGGTTCCGTTCTACCAATGACTTGGGGCTGCAGTCATCTCTTTTTGTAGGGTATCATCCCACTGTGTCTAAGGGCTGGCAGCCGGGCTGCTTCCCGAGCTACAGAAGACTGCTTGCCAAGGTAGAATGTAGCAAGACATAACATTCTAGAAAATAGAAATGTCAGGGAGAGAAGGCTATGAACACTGCATGGATTATAGCCTCAGGATTCCCAGGTCGTTGGGGTGGGGGGTGGTTGGTTCATTTTTGGAAAAGCTACTACCTGGCCTTGCTTTAGATCTGTACCCTGCCACTCAGATGTTTTGTTGATTCAAGGGTAGCTTTGGTACAGAGCGTTGATGAACAGTGAGGTCCAAACCCTTCCCCTTCCCCTCTCACTATTGTCCCCAGACTCTGTGGAAAAGACGATCCTCTGTTATAGCATGTGATAGAGCGTCCATGTGCTCTGCCACCCTGCCTGCATCCTCCTGTATTCTTCTATCTCTGGTGCCACCCAGCACACACTTGTCTGAACTATCTTGTTCTTAACAGCATTATCCTTTGCTCTTGGTGTTTGGCTATGAGATTGGCATAGAGATGTTGCTTCTTCCTTCTTCTCGTATTGCTTGAGCTGGGACCACAGGATAGGGAGAACAAGGGATTCCAACAGCCCATACATCTGGTGCTTTCATGGCCCTTGGTTTTGCAAAAGAGGAAACTGAAGTGGGGCAAAAGAGGAAACTCAGAGATGGCAAGTGTCAATACCAATGGGACACAGCCTGGTCCTGCTGAACCCTATAGTCTGGTGGCCCACTGCATGGACACCTGTGATGGTGGAAGGTGTAATGACACCAGGTCAGTGCAGGTAGGACTATACATTGCTTACAAAATTCGCTTGAGAAATGTGGCTGGCCCACTGCATATGGCTGGGTCACTGAGCATGTTTTGCCTTTAAAGTGTTGTCCTTGGGAGTGCAGTGAAACCCCGGATATCTTGGAGGCCTACATGGAAGGGTGGCAGTGTCCAGGCATGAGAGGAAGCCTGCTGCCTGGCTAAACTATGTGGGTGACCTTTAATACTGGCCAGTCAGGTCATAACTAGGCCACAGAAAGAACTGACTGAGGCTGAGCATAAGCCTGCACACAATAGGATCTAAATAAATGGTGGCTGGATCCATAAACGGAGTCATGGTCAGCCTGGAAAACACAAAAGCAGTGAGTGATTTATTCCAGAGGTGGGGCCACTTTGGAATATTGCTGCCTCAAAGCCATGAGGCCTAAGCAAGAAGCTGTCCCAGCCAACTCTGTTTTCCCAAGCACAGAGGAAATCAGCTTGTAGCTCTCATTTATTCTGCAGATGAGATGCCCATCAAATGTCTCTTCCATGCCAGGTTTCAAGGTTCAGGCCTCTTGTTCATGGCTTTTATGTCTTCTGGGAAAGATATGCACCGTTCTTGGAAATTGGCACAGAGCTATCAAGAGATGTTGGTTGAATGCATGAATAATGAGCAAGGAGCAGTGAGACAGGAGTAAAATCAGACTATAGCAGGTGTGGATGGAGAAGACACTCAGGGGAGTGCCCCACGTGAGACCCTTTATGTCAAGGCTTGAATGACGGAAGCAGGAGCAGCTACAGAGGAGAAGGGATGGGGAGAGCTGGTGCCCAGGTATACAGGGAGAACTCGGTGTCATTAACACCTGCATGTCAGTGTGACTGGGCTCATCCTAGGATAGAGGCCAAATACCATTCTAAGTGCACAGAAAGGTTTGTTTTTTTTTTTAATAGGAGATGTACATGATCTATTTACTTAGTCTTGCTTTTTGTGTTCTTTAATCACCACTACTAATGTGTAGAAAACAAATTAGGAGACTTGGAGACCAAGTGGGGCTGGAGAGATGGCTCAGCGGTTAAGAACTGACTGCTCTTCCAGAGGATCCAGGTTCAATTCACAGCACCTACACAACTGTCTGCAGCTCCAATTCCAGGGGATCTGGCACCTTCACAGACATACATGCAGGCAAAACACCAATGCACATAAAATAAAAATAAATGGATCTTTAAAAAAAAGTGGGAAGGAGACCAAGACTAGAAACTAGGGCCCCGTTAGTGGGTGAGGGCAGAGTCCAGGAACTAAGTGGTATAGAGTGTGGCAGGAATCAAGAGAATAAAGTGATACACAGTATGTTCTGGAGAGAGCCCCTTGAAGTACTGTGGCTAGATTGTTGAGGGAGGACAGGGTAGAAGAGGCAGCCCCAGGTTTAAGTCTGAACAGCTGGCTAGCTCTGCCAAGATCTCCTTTATAGCCACAATGATCCTGGGAAGAGACTGGATTATTCCTGAGAGATTTGGGTCATGGGATTTGGGGTTTAAAGTGTCGGGGAGTCACCAATTACATTCCATGTGCCACATGCACGTTCTGCTTGGCCTGTCACATGCCCAGAAAGCTTCTCTCCTTCCTACTAAATGGGTCCAGAGTTTGACTCTCTCTTGCAGCAGCAGAGTGACCGCAGATGTCCTTGATATGGAGGAGATCACCACTGCTGCTCCGGGCCTGATGCATAGGCTGTCACCTGGAGGGCACCATTCAGGATCAGCATTCTCACTCTCATGTCCAGTGAGACAGGGTCATTGAGTGTGGCACTACAGAGGGCAGTTCCTCATCTAGACCTAAAGCCACTTGGCAGACACCTGAAGCCAGCAGATGTGTGGCATTCATTCCCATGTTTTGGCTCTGACACTAGTTTGTCCAGGAGGTGCTGCTGCTCCCTGTGTCTTTAGAAGCACTATTGACAGCTCCCCTGTGACATGGTCGAGGAGTCTGGGGGGAGCCTGGCTACCAGTTTCAGGTGGCTTTGAGCCTTGCTTTATATGGAAGTTAAGCCAGGTGAAGCAGATGAGGTGGAAGGCCAAGGAAGGCAATAGTGGAAGCCCCTGGTCACAGCTCCTGACACTGTGCAGGAGCCTGCCTGGAACTGTTCTTAGAAGTTCTGCATTGGCCCTGAGGAAGCTCATGCTTCACCCTTATCTGCCAACAGTGCTGCAGCATTGGGCACTGCCCATCCTCTAGATCCAAAAGACCTTTCTCCTCAGGCTAAACCCCACTTCCACTCTCTGACAGCTGACTTCTTTGGTGACCGTGACTGTGGAGGTTCAGTGCTCACCTTTTACTGTTTCTTTCCTTGGTGAATATACCAGCTTGGGGAGCTTCAGCTGTCCCTGTGT